GGGCCAGGTTTCACAGACGTACAGGAGGGTTGAACAGACGGCTGCGTTACAAACCCTGTCCTTCAGGGCAAGAATAATGTCGCGTCTGCGTCAGAGGTGGCGGAGATTGGCAAAAGCACCTCGAGCTTTTGCTATACGGTTTGTAATCTTAGCTTCGATCCCACGAGCGCTAATATAGCTGCCCAGGTACTTGGATTCCCGAACGAATTCTAGCAAATCACCACCAAGGGTCAGTGCAGGGGTGGGTCCTTGCCAATCTTGGAGAAGTACTTTGCATTTCGATGGAGCAAAATATAGCCCAACACGATTGACAGCCAGTGCTAATCGGTCCAGTGCTGCTTGACATGTTTGGGAGCTGTCACAGATTAGGACAATATCGTCCGCATACTCCAAGTCAAAAAGTCGCTCAACAGGAAGTAGCTCCACACCGTGTCCAGCGAACGCTGTTTCCATGACTTCCTCAATAGCGAAATTGAAGAGGAAAGGTGACAGCGAGCAACCTCTTCTCACACCGCTAGTGGTATTGAAGGGTGGCGACAGTCTGCGATAAACCCTCACTCTGCCCGAACTATGCGAGTACAGCGATTTGATAATGTTTACGTATATATCAGGCACACCTTTCCTCAGCAGACAGTGTCAAAGGGCGCATCGATCGACTGAGTCGAAGACACCTTTATGTCAAGAAACAGGATAACGGTGGGTCGCCAATAAACATGGCGGTGCTCCAACAATTGGCGCAAGGTGTGGTTGTGGTTGATGCAGCGCCAATCTCGACGGAACCCTGCAAATGCGTCCGAATGATTCCTCAACAAGACTTTAAGCATTTCCAACACACTCGTCAGTGGGTACATCGAGTTAGCGGACGAAAACGTTCACATATTCGTCGCTGTCTGAACCATTCTTATAAATGGTGAACGTTTCCAAACTGTCATCTGCGTGAGTTAGAAGCAAAACAGTGCAATTATCCGTGACTAATTGACACTCCTTTAGATCTAGTAAACATTTTAAACAGCGCAGCAAATCCATCCCAATAATAACAGTGAATGGAATTCTGTCGATGACAATGAACTCGTGGTTGAGCTTCTCGTTGACAATGTCAACTCGTGCCGTTATGGATTCCCGGACAACCAGGGACTCTCCGTTAACAGCCATGTGACGGTAAAGGGCAAGGTACACGCGTGCAGCCTACCAGTTGTCTAAGTAGGTTAGATCTGATGAGGCTCTTACATGCACCGGTGTCGATGTAACCTACCAAGCGGACTTCCACAATTCGTAATTCTACCATTAGTGCTGACTCTGTAGTCGATGTACAAACAATAGCGGGTATAAAGCCTGAATGCGCACAGTGACACTCACCTGGGCGTCTGGCACTGTAGCGAGATAGTCCGCAGTTCGGCGTTTGTCGGCGGGGCATCCGAGAACCTGACTGGGTTAGTCGTCGTGATAACAGCCAGGATTCCCCGTCACCCGTTCGAGTGGCGCACGTCTGGGCCGTCCGTATCCCATGAAGATGAAGCAACCGGATGTCAGCGTAGCCACTGTTCAGTCGACTTGTTCCAATTGTTCGACAGTATGTATGGCTGCATCCAACCGCTCGGGGGTGGAGGAATTCTCACCTGATGGAGGGCTTTTGGACTCCTTCCAGTTCTTCCAATATTCGTTTGGCGCGCTCGTTCGTATGCGATATCCGCCAGCTTTCGGAGTTCGGGATCATACGTCACAATGCTCTCTCTGGGCTACTGGTACCGCGCGCGAAATTCGCCGCGTAGGGGAGCAGATAAACCGGGGCGGTCCAATAAGCGGCGAAGGTCAGCAAACGTCTCCAAAATATCGCTATCTGCTACGAAGTCAAAAGCGTCTTCTGGCAGCAAGCCGGCGAGCACAATTGCAGGCTGGTTTACTGAGAAATTACGAAGGTAAATCTGTGTCTGTTTCACCCACCTTGAGTACTACATTCCGAGGGTGAAGCATTCTGGCTGAGGGATTGGAGGCATGCAGATTGAGGATGTCGAGCCCGAAGAGATTTTCTCCAACGTACGGAATAAAGCATCAAGTGAAGCGGAAAGTCTTGTCGTGATGTCATCGCCATCGGAATAGCTTTCGTCGTGATCGTCATTGCACTAGAAATACTGAATTTCTAATTCTCGTGACTTGGCAGGGTCGCCACTTTGTAACATGCAAGCACGGAAGAAGTCCAAGGGTTGGGAGGGAAGTTCTATTACCCAACACGTAGCCTTTACAAAAGGTAATTAACATGAAGTAAAATGGAACAAAGGATTTTACAGTTAAGCACTGACTTCGTGTTCTTGTTCGTCTTCATTAATTAAGCAAGAAAGGCGCTTTGAAAGGCAGACGGGAGAGTGCCGTCAATGCAACTTCGGACGCGCGCCGAAGTTACATTTTCGATCCTCGTCTACAACGACAAGGTAGATAGTTAAGGTCGCAGTGTCAGAGATCAGAGCAGGAAGTAAATAGATACACAATAACATGTATCAGTGTTTGTCCATAGTTGGCGTCGTCGTGATACATGTACTTGATTAGCTTATTAGTTGAATTAGGGAAGAATCTAGTACGCTGTTTGTAAGGCGAGTTATACGAACAGGTGCGGACCTATTACAATATCCCCCTCTTAACAAATGCAGTCCTCAGCGCCATCGAAACCTTGGGCCGGCTTCAGCCTGTGCACAACAGTCGATGAACCCGGTGCACCAGGCTCCATGATTCGGTACATTATGTCAGATGGTACGTTCTCAACGACGTACGGGTCTTCCCTGAAGTGAACCGACCATTGGTTGTTTAGGCGGATATGTACGCCAGCGGGTGCGTCCCCAGGTTGCGGATCGGAGAATGCCTTCCTTTCGAAGGTAACTTGAAAGTCTCGGCTGTTCGCAGGCGAGATGATCAAGCAAACGCGGACAATCAGCGGCAACGTCCTAGAGCGTGGGGGTTCTGGATGATCACCCGGTTCCTCATTAAAGACCACAACCACTCGCAAGACGCTGTGTCTAAGACAATGTGAACGGCTATAGAGTCCCCGACCAGTTACTTCTGATCACAGAAGTGAGTACTTAACGGAGGGCAGATGAACAAACTTGATGGCCACCGGCTGTCAACGCCCTTCGTGTTCCGCAGCGAGTCCAGGGAATCCTGGCATCCTTGCTGCTTCATTCGGGCTCTTTGCCTCCACTCGAAAGCCATTTCATCCTCACGTAGAGAACCGGCTCCCAACGGTTCGCGGTACACGTCAATCGTCACGCTCTTTTGCGGGTTAGGTCTTTCGTGACCCTAGGCTCCGGGTGGGTACCTTAAGTCAACTCACTTCGTCGGCCTGGGCAACCGGGAAGCACCATGCTCACACAACTTATGGATCTATGTCTCAAAAACTTTTCACTCGCTCGATCTGCTCTTACCTTCTCGAACTGCTCTCCTCGGCCGAGGTGCTGGCGACTGAAACTGCCAAACCACGTTATAACGCATCGCCGTTTAATCACTATTCCACGTTTGTTCAACCCACCCATTCTTGGTCTCCCCCCTCCGTTTTCGAGTCCACAACACCGTGCCGCCTTGGGCGAACGTTCTCTCCATACGGATTAGCAGCCTTGTCGTGTTGACAAACCATTTCTAGCGCCCCGTTCCCAATTCAAGCTGGAAACCTTTAACGTTCGGACACTGATGCAGATTGCGGCAGAGTAGCTGAGGTGTTCCCCACCTCTAGCTAACGTGTATGATGATGATGATGACTGATGCAGATCGGATCACAGACAGCTCTTGCTCGTACTCTAGTAACTACGCCATTGATGTCTGCTGTCTCAGCGAGACTCGATTACAGGACTTTAGCAAGATGCTGCGACTAGTTTCATCGCCTGCAGGTCCCATTGGCATTTTCAGTTTGTGTCTATCTGGAGACTCAGCCGCCGAAGGCGCTGGTTATACTGCTGTTAGGATTGCGTTTAGCACATATGCTGAAGCCTCGCTACTAGAGTGAATGCGTGTCAACAGTCGACCATGAGCGATCCGACTTGGAACCTCAGTGCGACTGTCCAGGCGCGAAGCCAGCAAACGCTGTCTTTTCATTGTCGCAGCGTACGCTCCCAGTCTGCAGCTTGGAGTCAGTTAAGGAGGAGTTCTATGGTCAACTGGTCGACCTTCTCCGTAAAAAGCGACGCCCCGAGATAGTGGTGCGCGCCGGCGACTTGAACCCGCAGTTCGGTAGACTTGGAGTTGATGACCGTGAACTAAGTGGTCAACACGACCATGGCACTCGCAGAACAGACAACAGTGATCGTCTACTTCAGCTTTGCGCCGATCACGACCTCTTTCTTTCGAGCACTAGCTTTCAGGGATCCTGGCGCAAACGTGCCACCTGGGGACTCCATCACCTGGCCAGCCGTGGACACAACTTGACCACATCGCCATTAGCTATCGCAGTCGGGGCTGCGTACAGGGTTGTAAATCAATCTGGAGTAAATACCCCACTTCTGATCACGCGTTGGTGTGTCAAGGTCACTCTACGTTTGGTTTGTTCCCAGCAGCGTCGCCAGAAATGGCTTGACGTAGCTAAGCTTTTTGCCCTGAAGGTGCTCCGCGCATTTCAGGATGTCTTAGCATCAAGGCTGAAAAATGCTTCATGTACAGACATTGAAACGCACTGGGCACATGTCCGCGGCGCCATGTACAACTTTGCAACCCTAGACTGTGGTCTCACCAGCAGTCCTGTCAACCACTGGATCTCCGCACGATCCCTCCAACTTCTCGAAACCAGTCGAGCAATTCCTGCTAGCAAGACTACTAGGCTGAGCCCAAACTGCTCTCCCGGGAAGATCGCGAGGCCTGGTGGACTTAGCGGGTCACTGAAATGGAGTAAGCGGCCACCTCGGAGAATTTCCTTAAATTTTTCTGTTGCGATCTATTGGCGGCAAAAGGCCGGCTATAAGTGAAGTTTTATGTGAAACCAATGGCAAGCCAATCCACTGTCAGGAACGCCGACTCGAGCGCTGGGCCGAGCATTTTGAGCAGACGTATAATTGGCCAGCAGCACCGATCAGTTCCCATTCTGGAGTCCAGAGCGTTCGCAGGTGTGTAGACACTTCACCACTGTCTGGGGTTGAGGTAGTCCATGGGCTTCGCCTTAAAGCGCTACAAAGCCCCTAATCCAAATGAACAACCTCCGGCTATTTTCAAAGATGGCGGTCCATCACTTGTTCAGTTAACTACTCTCCTCCAAGAGATCTGGGTTATCCCATCTGGTTGGAGCCTAGCGGATATCGTGCCTGTCTTCAAAAAGGGTACCCGAACTGACTGCGCCAACCACAGAGGGATTAGACTCATCTGTGTTGCTTCCAAGTTTCTCGCAACTCTGCTTTTACTGAGCTTCAGTCAGGTACGCGAACAGAGCATACTTGAAGAGCAAGCTGGGTTCCGCTCAAGTCGGAGTTGCATCGATCACATCTATACACTCCGCCAAATACGACTATAATGTTCTCCCATTGGGATCGTAATGTATCATGTACGACTGTGTCTGCCTGCATGTTGAGATTCTGTGGTTGTCCAGGCCGATCCTGACGACAGCCACAAAAACCAGAGGCATGAATACAGGTTACCATGCGCTTGAGGAATTTTCCTAACTAGATTCCAGTATTCACACGGTAATCGGAGCTCAAAAGCATGGGAACACATATGAAATGAAGGTGGTGCCTTGCAATCTCACTCATGTGGACCTAGTGTCCGACCTGAGTGCCACTCGTAGAGCGTGATCTCGAGTTGTCTTCAAACGTCTATGTGAGTGTTGCTCACTGTAAACATCGGAACCACATAGCCCCACTCTGTATGCACAGTTGAATGGTCACAATGGCCGAACAGCGAAACGTGCGTGTGTGCTACGAATTCAAAGAAACACTGGCGAACCCCTTAGATTGGTCGGCTATCCTCCAGCATTCTCATCTTAAAAGCCAGTTCGCGTTGAGACCGCGTTAGCTTCGGGTACCAAGCGCTTTCTGCTTACAATATTCCACATTGGTTCTTGCATTCGAGTGAAGAATGGCGTATGAATCAACAATTATCCTAGGAGAACAAGTACTCTACAACATTTCCTCACTTTCGTTGCAACTGTCCAAACGTTGGCTCATTCGTGTATAATGAACAATCCCGGCAATTAACTAACTAGCGATTAGTATGCTGATATTGATACTACATGTTCTGTACTACGTATTAGTTACGCGAGTGAGTGAACCTATATTTTCCGCTGTTTATCCGTCGTACTGAACTTAAGTGCACTTAGGAAAAGGCAGCTATTATCTAGGTAATAGGCGAAGCGGAAAGACAAAGGTGCCTGCTAGAATTTGCATTAGAAATGGCCAATAATCTGGATTGACCTAGAGGTAGGTAAGTTCAACCGTGGTGGTACGGCAGTGTCTTAGTACATATTTCATTGCAAAATAAATCCAGGCACAGAAACAACTGATTTTTAGCGCAGAATATCTGCAACAGAGATGTATGAAGACAGGTTGTTAGCGAATTGTAAGCGGTTAAATTACCAGTAGAACCGCAGGCTGCATGGGAAAGTCTACGTTCAGCTAACGAGCTTATCTGCTGAGGCTTGATAACCCATTATTTGTCTACTGTCATGCGATTAACTATGCAATGCCCAATGTTTTCATTGCAAATCGCACCATGGATATGGAGATACATTGTTTTCCTAGCCATGTCTAAGTGGTCCCATCCAAACACCCGCTGTTAGATACATTCGTGCCCATACTGTGTAACACGTCTAGGTGTCCCATCACATATGAACTTGAGAGATTCTCCAATCACAAGGGGTCATCTACTGTGTTATTCCCTTCATTCCCCATTGGCCCGGAGACACATTATACCCACCATTCTATGCGGTTGTTGGACCCATTAAAAAAGTCGATTTGCCTTCATCCTGCGCATTGCAAAAACCCGGTTGCACTAGGACTGAGGTATGTACATATGGCACTTGAGTTGCATTTGGTTTGAGTGTACCGTAGATAAACGTCTCGACTTCGTTTCTTGATTGGACCCGAGAGTTTGTACGTGCTACTCGAGCCCCAAAACGAGTCTGTCGTTTGCATAAACAGCTTATCGCCACAGTAGAGCGTACAGCCATATCTGTCAACGGTTGAGTAATTGAATGTTATACAAGCTATTTCTTGTAAATTGACTAAAACAGTTTGAGCACTTTTTCGAAAGCCGAATGTAAGACAGAATGCAGCGGGATTTACCAGATTATTGTTCCTGTGATCGCGTTAAAGCGGTTGTCAGAGAATGTGTGAGATTACCGAATTCTAACGCATATAGCAGACGGCATCTGTAGCACACACAAACGATAAGACATCACTGTTTTTATTGTACCTATTATTTGTGTATCATTCCACCTGATAACCATATTGATGGCATTTGCTTCCCTATTCTTATCTGTCTCTAGCTATTGTTGATGCCCACATTTCTGACTGCCATCTAGGTGCAGGTGTAAACGTCAATTAACCACCGACAATCGTATTGGTTGCTTATAATTGTGCGTGCGATCTTCCAACACTAGGGGAATATGGCTGTTATTCTCACATTTAATCCATACTCATGTACGTTCGAAGTGTTATTGCTCAGGAGGGTTGCTGCTTCTAAATCCAATTTGTGGTAGTACATATACAAGTACGAACAAATGCTCGCTCGCAGCACTGCAATTTGAACCAGGAACTTTTGATATGCCAATTGATATCTCAGGTTGAATAACCAAGTGGAAACCATTTAGAAACACTTGTAAGAGCCACGCTTCAGCTTCACAGACTGATCGCATTTTCACTCGCGGCACCATTATCTGCTGGCTAGATGTCTAACTGGGACTCGCCGAAATTACAAGTCGCACTAACATCTGTTCGTGTCTCGCTAACTTCTCACTTGACAGATGGGTCTTACTACATTTCTTCTCGTGTGACACCGTGAGTGATTGCGGGTTGCAATATGAGGTCAATGTATCCCATCTCAAGTACCTCTATACGCCCCCGTGTACTGCTGCCGCATTGAGATTCAGACAAGTCATCAAGGTTAATTCCGGAACAGCGGTAACACGATGTGACATGCAAATCGAAATGCTTGGTTACAGGTGACATTCGAGACACTGATGAATTGGTCAAGATGTGCTAGCGATTAGAACGAATGATCATGGGGAAATAAATAGCAACACACGACGGACTGCCTAGTGGTTCCACATACCTGTTAATTCTCGCTCACTTAGGACAAGAGACGATCATAACCGGTTCCGGTTTACCTTCCGTCACGGATAGCCTGCAGTTAATATAGGAGACGGCATTCACAGCATACACCAACGGTAAGTCATCAATGTTCCACTACACTTCTACTTATTCGCTAAATTGAGCATAGCTATAATTCCCGTTCTTTCACCGAGGACTTGAACTTAGCTAAGCTCATAAAAATTAGTGGACTTTATCGCACCATTTCCCTGCTAACTTGTTGCTTACTCTATCTCCTTCAGCTTCGTGTCATCCTTATTCTATCGCGCATGTAAGTCGCGCTTGGGTACAGTTTCACTCTAGAATGAGTAACCATCGACATGCTACAAAATAGTATATTTATTGGACCTGCCTAGAACGGATGAGTAACATCCAACCTACCTTTATAGGGATTACCTAACTCGGTTGTATTTCGCGGTTATTTCACGTGTTGCCCACTACAATGTTGTATTCATCATGATCTATGGTACCCTTGCTACCTTCTCAAGTGGAGTCTAGTACGGTGACATACCGAGACGATGAGCTACGGTATCTTTCCTCTTCGTATTATCATTCGGCCGCGATTCACATCACTATGTAAGCTTCATGGTATTGCTCACCAGACTATGCTACCTACATTTTGTTCCTAGAAATCGATGTGTAGATAACATGACCCTTGTTTGAGCAGCAGCCCAACGCTAAGTAGCACGACGTTTTGAGAGTCGATGTATCGCCGGATAAAGGTTCAGTCTGTCCATGTGCTCATTCGTATTTAACGTGCACGGGGTTTCCGAGCGAACTGTGCTGTTGATACGGATCAACGCTAGGGTCACCAAATTATTGAGTGTTTCCAGTTCGGTAGATACGTGTGAACCCAAGGGTTACCAGCGCTTGGCCGCCCACAGTACGCGTAAAGTGTAACATCTGACATCGAGAACACACAATGCTCAACGACTGTCCTTCGTGTGACTACGAAGAGAATTTACCCGGGGAAAATCGGTGGCAAGTGGACAAGCTCGGCAATGAATGATGAGAGGGAGCACAGCTATAGTTCCCGATGTTCAGCAGCCATACTGAATTTACCGGGGATTGTGGAAATGCAACTACCAAGCGGATGGAAGACGGAAGCGCAGAGACACTAACCGGAAGTTGAATTGGACATGGCCAATCTTCTGCATAACCTAAGAAAAAAGTCATGCCAATGATAGTGGCACGTCTGTGTCTTAGTATATTACATCGGAAATGAATCGGCGCATAGCGACAATCGTTTTAAGAGCACTGAATGGCTGCACGCCAGACGTACAATGGAGATCGTTACCAAATAGCTTATGGCCATAGCAGAGTACACAGTGGTAGGTACAAAGGATTGAGTACTTGGATGACAGCCATGCTACGTCTTGAACATTTGCAAAACTGTGCGCACAGTGAGCAGTGGGACTTGGTTGATGTAGAATGGCGGTAGTTGTCTCTCCAATAAGGCCGTAAGCGGAGAATATGTGGTGTTGACACTTGTCAATGCTTAAGGTTGTGCAATAATCGTATCTCGGGCAGTAGATGATCGGACCGATCGGCGACGCGGAGTGACTGAAATGAACATCCAATCACATTCGCAAGCTGTGCGATCTCCCACATCAGCTACACAAAGCAGACTATGCATACAGGAGGTGACACCTACGCACACACTATTTTACTGTACCACTGGTTTATTAACCATTCTACCTGGTAACTGTACTGATGGCAATTGCGTCCCTATTCCCATATCGGTTTCGTTCAAATATGGACGCCCAAAATTTACGGCTGTCACGTCTAAATGTTAAAGAAAATACCAACAATTCGTCTTGGATACTTATTCTTATGCCTGTGCAATTGACCGTTAGCCTGACCTAAAAACGATACCCATACACGTTGTTAATACTATTGTTCATGAGATCTAATGTCTCTATCTAGTTTGTGGTAGTTCATAGTCTGGACGAGCGCATGTGCATATGTTGCATTTGAGTTGCATTTGGACACGGATGACGCCAATCCATGTATACATGTATACCCGTCTGGACTGTCATCTGATCGAGCTACACCGCGATATTCCCTGATATAACTACCTTCTACTTGATGGAGCTTTTTTCCTTTTTTCTCAACTACCTATTTCCTTTCCATAGCCGTTTCGGAAGGTGTGGTGGGATGTCACGCTTTGAGCCGGCGTGCATCCTGTTTAAATGCAGCATAAGCCCGATGAAGATACGACTAACACGCAAGTCCAACCCGCTACAAAATTGCTTG